ATAACAAACAGGTGCTTTTCATAGAGTCTGTGAACTGACTGTTCAAACGTCACCAGTTGTCTTAGTATTCACCACTGTATTACGAACATCACTGTACAGTTAATGCAGTAGTCTATGATCAGCTTGGTAGTATAGGCCCTTAAAGTTAAAACAGATGATATTTAAAGAGGCAGATAGGTTAACCAAAGTCCCTTGGCAATTAGTGAGTTGTTATCTTTGTTCAAAAATATTGTCGTTTATTATGGAGGAAAGGCTATCATGTTTGTTATGGTCAAGTTTACTGGTAAAGAAGTGAGGTGTTGTAAAAGAGCATACTGAATGTCCTTGTTTGTAATGTTCTATTCCATGAACTGACCTATCTGCCTGAGCCAAAACAGAAAAGAGACACAGTTTCTGTCAAGCACTTTTGGAATATAACTTCTGGGCCCTTTCGAATGAAATGCTGATTGCAGTGAAAGCTGTATGCTTTATTGTTTCTTCACAAAAGAGGAATAATAAATTGTAAATATGATCAAATATATATATATATATAAAACCGAGAAAATAAATTTTATGTATTAAGAAGTGGCCAGCCATTGTCTTGAAGTGAGGTTTGTTCTGAGATTCAAAAACACAGCTTGTTCACTCTTGAAAATTAAAGCTGCTTTTCCACCGTCGGGCCAAACGGTAAGGAATGTTCCAGTTATATTTCCACTTGAGCCTTGTACGGCACGATTACAAACTGTTCTCTCCTAGAATGCGTGTAGTGATGTCGCCACTTGGGATCAGGTCACTTGTCTGGCTACCAGTTTCTCTGGAGCTGCCCAAGTGGACTATTTGAGCAAAGTAAACAAAAAGAATAAAATGTAAATAAAAATCTGATCATCCTCCATGACACGGTCACTACTTGCATCTCATTCCATCTGTAAACTATTGCGTTACCAAGGCAAAGACTGACGCATATGTATTACATACGATACGACTGCATAATGCATGATTGGCATGGAATGGAGCGATTAAGCAATGAGAGTGGTTTGGCATGAGGGTGGAAAAGCGGGGTTTCCGAAAGGCTTTTTTTCACAGCGATACCATAGATTAAGTGTTGCAAAAGTAACCTTATCGTGGTCCACTATCTGGCATCATCAATTCTCCAGTATTTCCTAATTTCTAAAACCTTTGAGTGTCTGGTAAATGCTTTAGGTGCTGATATCATCTTCACTATCTAATGTTTTGGCAGCATGATTTGTGCCGCCAAAACACCAGATCTTTTTCAAAGAACAGATGTCTCCTGTCTACGTATCTGGTATTATGAAACTTGTGAGAAGCTATCATTTTCACTTCTCTGAAGCATAGTTTCTGATGGTGATCATACCTCGACTGAGCTTTGGTTGAGTAGCGGAACAGCATATTTTTCACGCTTAACCAACGATTAGGAAAGTTCATCTCAAAACTAAACTTTTGATATGAAGTTTAGTTTTGAGGCAAAATCTTCTAATCGTTGGTTCAGCATGGAAAATAGGTTGTTCCGCTACTCAACCAAAGCTCAGTGGAGGTATGATCACCGTTTGACTCACAAATTAAAAGTTGACACAAGAATGAAATCGAAATGTATTCTGAATATCTGACATATCTGAATATCTGCTCACTTAATAGTGATGATCCATGCAAAATCACATTTCTGAGTAACTTCCAAATGTTCTGTGGAGATTGTCTATCACTCCTCTTAAACAGCTAGTGTAAAGTTTCTTTGAAGAGAATTTTTCATGGTGTCTGAGACACTTACTGGCATACATACTGAAGTGTTTCCCCTGCTACTGTACATGTAGGCATTTGCATGAGTGCGCTGCGGACCCTGCTCTATCTCTGACTCAGTACTGCAGCTTCTCAGTATGAGGAAGTGACACGTCTTCTGTAGCTTTTAACTTTTAATCCCCTGTTTTGCTAAGACAACAAACAAAATACTTATCACTTAAAAAGGGAGGAAGTGTGACAAGTGGAAAGAACAGATGCTGATGGTGATACTTAGCCTTGGTTTGACACACACAGACGTATATCTCTTAAATCTTTAGCAACGTGTGTGCAATATGTGAAGTGGGATGCTTAGACACGTTTTTCTTGCCACTTCAAATGACACCCAGACAGAATTTCTTTAATGATTAGTATTGCGTATGACGCGGTTGGAGTGGGTAGACGATGTCATCTAACCTTCTAATGAAAAGGTCATTGTGGGAGTGTGTGATGTGGTAATGTAGCAGGATGTGTCAGAAGATTACTAGCCGTGTGTTTTAGTACTTTACCCTAATTTCTGTAAATGATGAGACTGACAAAACTAAAATACAAAAAAACGATTCAATGAGATGCTGTCTGGAAGTATTATCACATTGGATATGAAAATTAGTGAATTAGTTTTAAATGAAATGCAGCTTATATTAATTATGAAGGCTGCACCTCTGGGTATCATTAATTTGACATTAGTGCAACTACCAGGCTACTAAAACTGTGATAGAGATGTTTAGCCACATCCCATTAAAAGACAATGGCATTCCTCTCAGGTGAGCTGCAGATGAGCGTACCTGGTCTCGCAGCTCTTACTGTATGGTCCAGTACTTGTAACATATACAGTATGTCTCTCAAAGAAACTGTCATTTCTTTATTATTTCAATTCACTGTCTGTAAGATGAGCTGAGTAATGCATGTCTGGAGGTTACTGTTTCCTGCATTGTAGCATTTCAGGTAAGTGGGGGTTTTCCTTTTATATTTTGTTTCAATCCTATTTCCTCATTTCTCAACTGTTAAACTTAGTCTTTTCCCATAATTTAAACGATCGAGCTCTTTTAAAGATTCTGATTGGCTGTTAATGTTTTTTTTTTCACTCATCAGCTGGAAAAAGTGATTCCAATGATCGTTCCTCTGTGCCGTTATCGTTATAGTTGTGGTGTGCTCTTATTTTACGAACGATTTTTAAAACTTTATCTTTATCGTTAAGGCCTGTTCACACCAAGAACGATAACTATATTGACTATGTTAGCGTCCACACCAACGCACGATTACATTGTTTATTTTAAGCAGTTATGTCACTGCCTCTTTAAGTCCCTGTGCTCTTCAAAGCAGGAATTGATTGGCTATCAATTTTTTTATTGTTCATCAGCTGAAAAAGGCGATTCCAACGATATATTCCTGAGTGCAGTTATTGTTACAGCCTAGTTGTGGTGGACTCTGCTATTGTCTTAAATTTCGAATTTTCTCATTATAGGCTAGTTATTGGCCTTGGTGTGCACGGGCCTTTTACACAGTAAATTGACCATGCACACAAATGATCACAAAACATGTTTAAGATGTTTAAAACTTGATAGACAGCTAAATGCGTTGATAAAATACAATATGGGGTGACATAGGCTAACAGAATTTTCTTTAAAACACCAACGGTCTGAAAGTCGCTAGAATAGATGATTCACCCACTATACAATAATATAGGGTGATATCATCTAAATTGGGCCACTTTTTGGTAAATCGTTTGCGACAACAATACAATACCATATATGCCTTTTCCATGTGTTTTTATGATGAATAATGACTGTTTTTGATAATTTTGTCTTGAAATTATGTAATAAAATATAATTATTTAGGCATCAACCTCTCTTGAAACATCAGATGTGCCAACTTTTTTTGCATGAGCCGTTTCAGGTAAAATGGGCCAGCTGTTCAGGTAAAATGGGCCAGTCAAACTGCAAAGGGAAATAGCAATTTATCATCAATTTTAATTTTAAAACACAATTTTAATGTTTAATGTTTCAACTGTAATCCAAATGGATCGAATGTTTATGCAATTCACTAATCTTACATTTAGTGTGGAAATGTTTACTGTTGTTGCTGTAAATAATAATAATAATAAAGTCACATAGCCTACTCGGGACAATGACTCAGTAATCATCTGATTCTTGGAAATTGTTTATGCAATTCACTAATCATAAATTTAGTATGGAAATGTGTACTGGTGTTGGTGTAAATAATAATAATAAAGTCACATAGCCTACTCGGGACAATGACTCAGTAATCACCTGATTATTGAGAATAGCCTTAGGTTACTGCCACTGTCATTCAGACCTCTTTCAAGCTCCGTCCCAAAGCCAGGAGAAAGAAGGAAGGAATTTAAATATAGGTTAATGAGGAAGTGTTCCGCAGAGTTTCTAAATGTGAGTGATATGGCACTAAGTGATGTGATGCTCATGAGACGTTTGGTGCGACACAGTCATGATGTGTCATTAAGCAGAAGTTGTAGGCAGGCTGGTAAAATACCAAGTCAATAACGTCTATCTATCTATCTATCTATCTATCTATCTATCTATCTATCTATCTATCTATCTATCTATCTATCTATCTATCTATCTATCTATCTATCTATCTATCTATCTATCTATCTATCTATCTATCTATCTATCTATCTAATCTTCGCTTTTTCCTGTATCTAATTATGTTTCGCGTTAACACTCCAAGCTCGATATGAAAATGTGTGAGGAGAAAACACTCTGCCACTGAAGACAACGAGAGAAAGAAAGCGAAGTTGAACGTTTTGTTCACCAGCAGCCACACCTACTGAGAGCGTCAGCGCCTGCGTGTGTGTGTGTGTGTTTTTAAATAATGAGCGGAGTGGAGCTTCTCATCTTAGTTCGCGTTTTCTTTGAGTAAGGACCGGCTACACTAAACAGAGTAAGAGAAAATATTTATTTATGAATATTTCATTAATAAGAAATAATAATTGTAATGTATTACGTTAACATATTAACTACATTTAAAAAAAATATTTAAGCATTTGTGGATTTTAGATGTTCATTGAGTCTGTTTTACACTGTTGACAAAGTTGAATGAACTGATGAATTAATATTTTTTTTAATCATTAATAATAATATTATATCAAAAAGCTAATGCTTATATTTTCCATATATCACATATGTAGTTAATTAATAATAGTTCACTTATAAACAATAATTACTTGATGATCTCCTTTAGTTGGTAAATTGTTTTCTTTGAAGAAATGCTGACTGCTTTCCGAGGACTGGATGTCTTTCTGATATTCAGTCTAGTGCTGAACTACACTGTGGGTTCTGATTCTGGCTGTGAGGATTGGACAATATCTGGATCAGATGTCTGCTGCAAGACATGCAAGCCAGGTACTCAGACAATAACTGACTGCAATGTGATGTGTTATGTAACCTAATACGATATCTGTAATACTGACATATTCTTGGAAAAACTTGATCTTAATTTTAGGAAGTTTAGTATTTCAGTATTTCATAATTTCCCTTTTTTTTCAATGACTTATTGGAATATCGAGGATGCAAAAAAAAGCAGATTACAGTGTATCCTTGAAATTATTCATTAGTGACCGAGTGAAGGAAGTTTCAGATCATTTTGAAAGTACCACATGAAAAGGATGTGGTTTAGCACTTCAAGGGAAATCCATGAATTGTTCTGTCATTGTATAAAGATGAATAGATCATCCTCAACCTCAAACCAAGGGTTGTCCCAACACACTAGTGCCAGAAATCTTGCTGTGAATGAGGAGCTCTGTAAAGCTTCCTTGCTTGCTTGAAATGTAAAGTATCAAACCTTCTATTTCACAAGATGAACGACATACTCAGTGGATCTCAGTCTCTATTAGCAATAATTGTCCTTCTTTTTTGGAGATTTCTTTCCAGATAAGGAAATGTTATGTTGTTGTATGATTGCCATGTCACCACTTTTGGCTTATTTTAGTAAATGTCATAACCTTTGTTTGTTTTATGTTTTTCAAAATACTAAAACTTATTTTAAAGCTGGGTTTTAATTAGATGAAAAAATCTTCCTCAGGCTTTTGGACCGCTATAGTTATAAGAGTGTCAAATGTGTATGAGTTTCAAAGCCATACTGTAAATAGTTGCTTGTGGTTACAGGGAACCACTTGGTGGATCGTTGTGGAAGAGACCCAGAAAAGCTCTGTACCCCCTGTGCCCCTGACATGTACACAATCGGTTTGACTTTGAACCTCTTCTGTTTGAGATGTACCCAGTGCATAGGTATGACATCCTCACTGCAATTTTTGTTAAGCGAATAGTTTGCAGTTTGATTGAACAAGTGATTTTGTTTTATCTGCATCATGATAAGCTTTAAAACATCATAGCCTACTACTGTGTAAGCATTAATCTTTCTGTTTCATGTTTGTAGGTAAACAGTTTACACTTAGACCTTGCACTATCAGCAGCAATACTGTATGTGGATGCAAGCCTGGATATCGGTGCGGAAACGACAAATGTTCATTCTGTGTTACTGAATGCAAGGAGGGGGAGGAGCCCACCGAAAACCGTAAGAATTCCGGACCCTCTCAGGGGCCGTTTACTTTACACAACACCATTTTCAAATAAAAACGTACAACTTTTTATGGCCATTCATTTATACACGACAACGGTGCGTTGGGGGCATGAAAATGCTAACTTTTGAAAACGGGATTCAAAACTTTTGAAGTGCATGGTTTTGATAACAATACGGTTATCGTCACCATATAGAAAATGGTGTAGTCATGTGCTTGCGTATTTAGGCCTATATGTTCAGTCTATAGGCATGTTGTGTTTCTTTACAAAGTGAAATTGCCAGCTACTGGCCTGACAGCATAAAACAGCGGTTTTAGTCGTTTTCATGGTTTGTACGCAAAAACTGCAAAGCTGTTGTGTAAACGTACATTCAGATTAAGAAGTTCTGAAGCTGTTCAATAGGAAACTGCTTGCTGTTTTGCTATATTATTTTCATATAAATTCTTTCATTCAATGCTTGCAGGATTGTGTAGAAAATGTCCAGAAGGAAAATTCAATGACAAAATCCACAGTAACTGCAGAGAATGGAAAAAAAGGTAGCGTACAATTACAGTTTGTCTGTTTTTAAAGCAAATATATAATTTATCTGAAATTAGATCTGCATTTTCCATAAAACTCATTCAAACTCATTCATTCTCTAGTTGTCCCGATGGACAGATGTTGGGCAAAGGAAATGCTACCAGTGACTGTACTTGCATATATTCAGACAAAGGTAACAAGGAATACAAAAGGACAATATAACTTGGAGGTCAAGTAACATACTGCCACATAATGTAATGTTTTTGTGTCTGTTACAGAAGCAATAGTACCAACCTTACATGTTGTGAGCAATAAAAAAGGTAAATGAGAATATATCTAGAATATCTCGTTGCATATCTGTGATCAGCATACATTATCAATTGAATTGGACTGCATATCTTTCAATATGGATATTGAACTCTAACCTCAAGAATATATTTCTATGACCTCCAGAACAGACAAAATGGCTTCCAGTTTTCATTGCTGGAGGGATGGCAGGGTTGGCTGTCCTTTGTTTCATAGCATCCGTGGTTGCATATGTAAAAGGACAAAACAAAACTGAGAAGAAGCCAAAAACCGATGCCGGTGACCAAGGTACCATTTAAACCTGTGTTCATTTTTTTCCTTTCCTACATGGTCATAATGTCTGTATTTACAGTATTGTCATTTCCTTCTTTTAGACCGCCCAGATGAGTCCAGGATTATGGTAGGGGAGCAGGCAGACTGTAGTTTCCGTCATCCTGAGCAGGAACAGGGCAGCTCAGAGTCCATCAATACACAAGACTCAGATTCTAAACTCATTGTGTGAGTTCTGGACAGCTTTTATTTTCTTATCTTACTGTAGTATTACTACAACAGCAAGAGGATAACATCCACTAAACTGTGAAATACATCCTTGACTGGGTGTCTGTCAGCCATTCCAGCTGGTGTATCGGTGATTAATGGGAACAAAATGGGCATTTTGATGTCACTGTGCATTATTACGTTTTTAAATGCTGAAGTATAGAGGAAGTTGCTCTTGATAACACAAGATGAAAGGGTTGTCATCGTAGGTGTGCAGTAGCTAGCAGACAGTATGTCAACACTTTTATGAGAGTAGGCGTCATCTACTGGTGCTTGCGTCACACTTTCTGGTCAAAGCCCTCTTGAAATACCCTGGTGGGCTTCCCCACTTTTCTGTTGAAAACAGTACTTAAAAAATACTGGACCAAGAACATTGAAACAGAAGAACAATGAGGCTGTTTTACACTGTATGTTTGCACTTTACTTAGTGTTTTTATTTAATAATAGCATTTTTTTGCCCAGTTTATGGGCAGTGTATGGTACATGTGGTTGACCGAGTCATGTAGGAAGTGGACTCAATAAATAGCAGTGTTGACTATCCTTCTGAAACTGAACTTTTGACCTCATCAAGATTGTAGTGCATTTTACTATTTTGTACATAGTAGGATTTAAAAGTAAATAAATAAAATTGTCAACCCCGGGCCTATCTAAACCGGAGTTAACAGAACCATGAGTTATCGTTTTCCATTCATTCACAGTTCGTTCTTTACCCTGGGTTAGGAATTAATTCTGGGTGATTAGGTTTTGAGGTTTGAAAAATTTGACACGCAAAAGACAATAGCTTGGTGTTCAGGTCAGTGTGAAAAGCCCTATAGAAGTATATGGCAAGTAAAAATGCATTATAGTGTGTGTGCTGTAAAACAAAAGTCCCAGGTTGCCCCAGGGGCCATATAATCCATGTGTTGGGAAATTTCCAGTAAGTAAATAGTTTTAGTTCATGGAGCAGATATTGGTCAACCTAATCTAATCTAAAAAAAGAGATTGTTCAATGAACTGTAGCCTACATTCTTACGTTGTTGAGTGACTCAGCGGGAGTTCCCCGATGACCAGATTTGAACAAAACCTTACTGTACCTGTAGTATGATCAGCCTAGAGTGAACCCTGGAATTACGATGAATCATTTTGCATTCGGGTTTATTGTCCTTTACATGTGCTGACATGTTTAGATTTAATTCACTACATTCACAAAGTGAAAGTGGCTCCAGGGATATTTGTTAGGGCATTATAATCATAACAGCAGTGAGGAGGGAATGGAACAGCTGGTGGACGAGTGATGCGATGATGTTGGTCTTCAACTGTCAAAAAGGTCACCCTGTGTATGTAAAGCCCTGTCTAAAGTAATCATGTTTATAAAAGACAAAAAATGTTTAAAAAATCCCAGCACAAGTTTCGCTTTGTGGGAAGACAAGGTCTCGATGAAACTTGATGTTTGAGGTGCTTACCGCAGATATTTGCATGCATTTCTTAGTAAATAGGGAAAGTCTTAACCTCTCTATCTATAGTCCAAATTTAAATCCACACAATTTCTGCTGTAAGTGTAAAACGTGTTTATTGATATCTTTCTGACATCCAGAAATATATTGATATTATAATTGTATCTGTCTTCTGTACAAAGCATTTTTGAAACATTATATAGTCATTGAAGAGGGCATACAGATTCATAACAACTGTAACATTGTTGTCATAACAGTACTGAATACATTGGAAACATATAATAGTGACACTCAGCATCAGTACAAAAATAGAACAAAATTTTTGTGTTACATTTCCTCCAGCCTTGTAAAACTATGCATATATAGAATATGCTGATGTACACTACAAAGAGGGAATATAACTCAAGCCGGAAAAGTCTCGTAAACCACTGAATATTATTAGTAATAATATTAAGATTAGTAAACATTTCATTTCTACAATCTGAATGCATGATTTGTTTTTGCAAATTGTAACTTCTTACAATAAGAGACATTCATACATAAGGGAGAAAAATGGAAATGGAAATAACACTTTGGGCAAATTTAGACTGGTGTAGTTTCTGGAACAAAAAAAAAAAAGGTACAAGCGATTCTAAAAGAATGCCCACATTAATACAGAAAAACTCCAGAGGTTAACTCAACCATGTGCCAACATCCTTTATCAAAACATTCAGGTTTTCCCAGAAGTCATGTCTAATGCCAGGCACTATTAGAGGGAGCTTTCCCACTGTGGTGACACACCAGCCTATAACCAGCTGCTAAACAAAAATGAAACAGATAAACCAAAAAAGACCTAGACAGATGTTCACTAGTAATAGCAGCATTATCTGGATGGAGTGTCCCCGTTTTGCAAGTTGATTTGTTGGTTAAAAAAGTATTCCACAAGTCTTAGAGAAAGCAGAAGACTGGAAAGCCCGAGCCTGTCAGGACATGCATGCATATCTTTAATCTTTTATGGTTATGAATTCATTATTGCAGTTCATTTGTCCAGCATCACTGCTGCTTGCAGTTGTCTTTCTGTTTCGAATTTTCCTTTTTCTCCTTGGGCTTTGCTTGTCCCGGTTTGTCACCCTGTCGTTTCGTGGGTGGCACAAAAGCAGGTTCTTCCAAGGGATTGTACAAGCCTACTTGTGAAGTTTGATTTAGACAGGGACCTGTAAATGAAACCATTTATAATTATTGTTTTGTTACAATTTAGAATTATGGTAGAAACCTTTTGTTATTTGAATGAATGAAAGCACCATTCATTTGTCCTGCTTCAGCTGCATCCTTCCTTTGAAAGGTGGGGTCCAGCTCTTCTGCAATATTCCTGATGGCTTGCGCTTGCCTGTAGCGTCACCAGAGAATGTTAAGGGATATTTCTTGAACGAACATATAAGCTGTAATTTATCGAGAAAACAGTGACTTACATTGTCATGGAATTGTGACCAGGGATGAGGTCATCAACTGGGGATTGAAGACCTTCGGAATCCAGTCTCCGCCTCTGTATGTTCAACAGAAAAATTCTTTTGTAAAAACAGGTCTACTAAATGCTGGTTCACTTTGCCCCAACAAACACAAAACGGTTCTGGATTTTTTTTTTTTTTAAATTGGCTCCATATGGAGTTAGTGTGAATCACCCTTAAAAGATAAACATTTTAAAAGAACATGTGCCAATATACTGATGAATCACATGATGAATTCATGTGAGCAAGTCAAAAGGCATGTTTAACTAGTTTAACAGCACCAATTTCAAAGAGTCATGTCATACTCAGCAAATGATTGGAATTTTTTTTAGTTAGTAAAGAGTAAATGGTAAAGCAATAACAAAAGATAGTATCACTCTAAAAGTGTGGCTACCTGTCTGTCACACGCTGTTCTCCTGTCATTCTCCCTGTATTCCCGCCCAGGTCCAACAGGTTCCAGTTCACGAGATCTCCGTTTAGCCTTTATCTCCTGTTTCTGCATGAAACGTGCAATTTCCTATCACAAAGCGAGAAATTAATTACCCACTTTTCATGCGTTGGGAAAGCAGCCCTTTCGTTCAACCTCTTCACACCTCATCTTGAGCAACCTGTGCCGCTCTGAAGTCTCCAACAGGACAGTCCCTTCTAAGAGGAGAGGAACCAGGCTGAGTCTATGTGAGAAGAGAAAAAACAACTTCAGCTTACATTGTTTTATTTGAGTAATTTTGCTACTGTCATTGATAGGATTACAAGACTTCATTTCTGAGGACTAATAGGGGTACAATGGTTTATACCAGGGGTGTCCAATCTTGCTCCTGGAGGGCCTCCTTCCAGCAGAGTTTAGCTACAGCCCTAATTAAACAAAAAACCTTAAAAAGGCATGTGTGTTGGAGCTAAACTTGGCAGGAAAGTGTCGATCCAGGAGCAGGATTGACTGGTATATACTATCCAGGAGTGGACAAAAGTGGTGTCGGGCTTAGGGAAATTGACGCCTTTATTCACATATTATTAACAATGCTGTAAGCGAAACATGCAAAATTGTGCAGACATCATTTTTAACCAGGTGGTCATTCAAATTATGAACATGCAAAAACAAGAGAGAACAAACAAAATATGAATGAGCCAATGTATGCGTTTTCCTGAGATTTTTTCATTTTCTATGCATTTTTTTGCATAGTAGAATAAAACAGGTAGCTGTAGTTTAAACTTGGCTTAGGTATTTGTCTTACAAAATTAGTGTTCTGTTCTTCCCTCCTATTTAAAACATTTGAAAAAAAGTCTAAAATATTTTCCTCATATTTGATGGTTTAATCAAACTTGTACAGTCATTAAAAGCAAATATCGCCTCCGGACATCACTTTTGGCCACTTCTGTACTGTACTGTATTGTATATTTGCACTTTTAGTTGAATTCACCTCTTCGACCAATCTCTCCTCCTCTTCCTGAAGCCTGCGGGCCAGCTCCTCATCCTCCAGCACTTGCTCCAGCTCTCCCAAGTCAAGAGCAGCCATTCCACTCCTAAAAGCAGATCCTGTTAGGGAATAAGGGCAGAACCAAAAACCAGGTAATGTTGAGACCAGACATAGGGTTTTCAGACCACCATCACCTTCAACCAGTTGGGCCTAGACCAGGGGTGTCTATTCCTGCTCCTGGAGGGCCACTGTCCTACAGAGTTAAGCTCCAACAAACCTTTTGGAAGTTTCTGATAATCCTGAAGACATTGGCTGCGTCCAAAAACTTAGGCAGATAAATCGATCTGATGGAGGTATCTCAGGAGACAGGAAGTGAAGCTAAATTGGATTCGGACGTGCCTTGATGCCTTACCTTGGAATGCAGCATTGGTTTTAGTTTTCGGACACAGCCTCAGGTGTGTTTGATTAGGGCTGGAGCTAAACTCTGCTGGAAGGTGGCCTCCCTGAAACAGGATTGGCCGAGACCATCAAACATTAAAAGTAGGTAGATTTCCTATTAATTAAACAGTAGGAATCCTACTGGGTAGATTATATCCCTGGAAACATACCTCAAAGGAGACAAAGTAAGAGCCAAATCAAAAAGAAATGCAAGAAATCCAGGCATATGTAACGGTGAGGTACTAAAAAAGAGAAAACAACTGATGCTGCTGTAGGAGAGATAGAAGCATTTTGAGGTTTTTTAAAAATGAGGATGAGATCTGGAGGAGGTGTTAAGCTTGAGAAAAAGCAGATCACACAAAAAAAATAGTCTACACTCCTAAATTGTACACCAGAAGGACGCAGGGATGCACAGGAGCTCTTGTTTATTGATTGGAAAGCAATGAGCAGATGTAGGGACAGGCTCAGCCGCACTGCAGAGCTCAGAGAGAGGTTACCTGCTCCGGAAGACTGGTGTCTCTGCATCCGTCTCTCCCTCTCCATCTCCTCCTCTGTGCTCGATCTTTCTTCCTCAAAGGTCTGCCAGCGCTCGCTTTGACTTCGCCTCACTCTACGCTCTCCATGCCTTTGGTCCCTGTCTATCCTCCTTTCATCCTCGGCTAATGATCGAGCTCTCTGCCGTGTGTTTCTGACTCTCACCATCTCCCTCAAACGATCCTCCACTTCCACCTCCATCAACTGTGGTGCTCTAGTCTGGAGTGAGGGGGCATTATTTGAGAGTCTTGCTCTAGCCAAGTTAGAATCATCTACGCTGCATGTTCTGCTTCCCTCACGCACCGATGTCCGCCTGACGTTACCATGGTAGCTACGTCTCATTGAAATGTTCCGTTGAAACCCTTGAGCTTGAGTCTGGAGACCTTGAGTTTCTCTGAGGTGTGTGTGATCATCCCTTAATATCCCTGTTGAACACGGAACTCTTTCCATAGTGTCACTGTAACCATTTTCATTGGTCCTACAACTATTTCCATGGTTGCTCCTCCGTTCATCCGGGAAATGAACATGTCTTTCCCTAAAACTCTCCCTACGTCCGCAATCATCTCCCTGCCACGTTCTGCTATGATCCTCACTCACACTGCTGTGGCGACTCAGCCTCTTTCCAGAGACCTGCTGCTTCTGTCGCAATATTTTCTCAAGTTTATAGACGGGTTCAAAGAGATCATCCTCAGAGCTGTGGCTGAGGTAGCCTTGCTCGCTCATATCGTTCTTTATGAGCTTGATGACATCCCCCCATCCACCCGACAGGTGTGAAGATCTGCTGCTGCTGCTCTGGCTGGTCAAGCTCCTGTCGTCCTGCTCTAAACGTGTTCTGGAAGGTCTGCTGACCAGCTTCCTCTGCCCTACAGTGGGTTTGTTGTCCTGCCGAATGACTGTAGGCCTACTGTACTCAATCAGGTCCTCCTCAGAGTCTGAGTAGGTGGGCGAGGAGGAGAGCTGCCATCTTCTAGTTGGAGACCGGTTGTGAGGAGCGTGAACAGGCTGGGGTGAGTATGGACGAGCAGGAATGCTTTTGGATTCTTTAGTGAAACCAACCATGCAAACACAAAGCAGGGGATTTGGAAAATTGTTAGAAATCGGGTGGATGCAGAATAAAACAGTTAACTCATGAAGCTCTGTTTAGAAGTAAAAAGGACAAATGAACCATTAAAACATGCATTACATGACGTGAAAATTAAGCTTCACTGAATTCAGAGTGATTCAGGGTGTTGTTAGTATGCCAATAAAAGTTCAATGGAATAGTTGGATTCAAGAAATAATTCAAAATAATATTCTGTCATCATTTACTTTACATTTCTTCTTTGCAGAAGAAAGTGTGACTATCTTCTGTCAAACACACACAAAAAATAATCAACATTTTGTGTCCATACAATGAAAGTCAATGAGTCCAAACCAACAGGTGTATAACCCTTTAACTAGGCTTATTTCACAAAACAAAGAAGTGGAAACACCATCAATCTTGAAGACATGAACGCTTGACGTTCTCCTCGAACTCTGTTTAGGCCATCAAAGAAAATCAGGTTTTATTGCAAGACATAAAAGTTATGGAGTAACCATAGAACCTTTAAAAACAGGACACAAATATGAGTGAACTGATCATCATTACCCAGGGATAGTCATCATCCCAAATGAGGTCATGTCTTGTGGGATTTAAAAAGCAGACGAAGCAGCTGGCTATATGCGTCATACAGTATGATGGATACATTAACAATACACTGCATGTTGAAACAAAGTTTATTTGTGTATTATTTTAGTAGATTTAATATTCCAAATTTGCATAATCTGCATAATGATGGACTAGGACTACTCTTTGGGGATGAAATTAAAAGATGCTAAGGTGTCAACATCACCCGTGTCGCATTACTGTAAATCAAATGCATATATGGGAAACAATCATTTGACTAAAGAAAAGAATATGCATGTGACAAGACATTAAAGGTGCTATCAGCGATTGTGGGTGACGTCACTTCTGTTTGTTTTTGAAGCGATATCCCTAACAAACCTGTTCAGCATAATGTCGCCTACGTTAGCTAGAGCTAGCCAAGTTTAGTCGAGCTTCACTCATTTTTTGAACTCACAGTTCACATCCAAAAAATTCAGCATTAGCAGCTACTCACCTGTCAAGAAGAAACAGTGCAACCTCGGCGTCCGATTTTAAATTCTTCAATTCTTTTAGTTCTCTCCACCTTTCAAAAACCTTTCCGATCACTATTCGTGTCTTTGAATAAACACAATGGTATTCCCTAATCCTCCTCCTCCTTTTGGGGATTGACTCAGACATGTTCACATTCGGTCGTTGATAGACGCTGGCTTCTTCTTCAGATCCGCAAAACCTCACAACACTCCCCCCCTGTCGGTGATTGGTTGGAACACTGTTTATTTTGGTTTTGAGTGGTTGGTGAAACCAATTGTTTTTGTGTGCAGATCTCAGAGCCAAGGCTGCCTACAGAGACACGGTTTTTGGACGGCATGCTTATGGGGCGGGCAGCTAGCGGATTGTTAGGAAAGATTAGATGAATGTGAACATTTATTTTTGGGCCTGAAATCACTGATAGCATCTTTAAGACAGTCACAATGTTTTTTGGATTTCAAAAGAAATTTCCTATAGACATATTTACTACTTTACAGGAAAGCTACTGTTTTCAAAGTAAATGAGGGAGACAAAAAAAAATATATTGTGCTACAGACAAAAGAATTTTAGTAATCGTCCATAAGGTCTGTTTCATACATTGTGTATCACATCCTGTTCACGGGATTTAAAGAGCTGTATAGGGTTCGGGTTTAGTGTCAATGTAAATGTGACCCCCCCCATGTCATGTAAATCAGATTTCACACTTCTGATAATCAATAAAATGCATGAATCACTTCATTTTCGAATTCTATACAAGAGCGCCGCTCTATTGCACAACAGAAACACTGTAAGTGTGAACACAGAATGTGAGCCTGCTTGATGCAAAAGAGCGGCTCAAGTATACCTAACCAACCTATTTCATAAAAACACTCCAATAACACCATGAATTTTGTTATTTTACCTCTACCATCTTTATTTTGGTAACTGCTCCCGTGTCTCTCACAAAGCTCTTCCTCTTCCTGTATCCTTTTTGCAATTTCCTAAAAACAAACAAAAAAAACAAACAAATTAATTATTACAGATAATAATGTTCAATGGGATCTGTTGTGGTTTTTAACAAGTTTTTAATAAATACAGAAAAGCATGTAAAGTATGGCTGCAGATTATAGTGGGGGAAAAAAGCATTAATTTGAAAAAGCAACAAGCGCCGAACATCTTTCTGTAATGAGAAGCGTTTACAAACATGTTGTCCAACTAAAGAACATTCAATGACAAGTTTTTACTCCAAACTTCATAACGCCAATCGAGTGTTTGAAATCATTTTATTATGTGATCTGACGAGGCTTCATATCATAAAATGAGGCAGAAATGATATTATTTTATAATATTTTAAACAGTGAATGTAATTAAGACATAGTCACAATGTTATTTGGATTTCAAAAGAAATTTCCTTACTATGAACATGTCGCTTTGCATTAGCCTATACATATACTTTATTCTTATGAAAATATCTGTGTTTTTCTAGAAATCTTGGATAAATCATATATTGTTGTGTTTATTGTCATGTTTTATCAGTCAAAACTTCTCATATGATACAGATAGAGACTAGTTTTTCTCCGGTGTAGAGATGTTTTTTTCTCTCTCAGTGGATGCATAAGATTTCCTGACAAAAATTAAGAAATTACGTCACATATTTTTATCATATTCATTTAACATTTTATAATAAAACTTTAGACCTCTCTAATGATTTATAGGAAAATTAAGCAGTCAAGTGCTCAACCAAAACAGATGGATGTTGTTTGGATTGTGTTATAGTGATATTTGGCTAGATAAACAAAATGAACTTAATGTTAAGCAAGAGGTGTTATGTTCCTGCAGTCTGCCATTTAGGCAAATAAAATGTTTGTCTGAAAACATTTCTGGTAAAGGTTTGTATTTTGCTGCACTACTTGTGGTCGTTTTCAAATAAAGTAACAGAAGTTTTATTCTTTTGCTACAATTGTGTGGCCAGTGCTACAAAACTGTCAACCTCTGTAACACCAGTGCTATGTGCAAAAAAAGTTAACGTACAGGCGTCAAAACGTTCAGTGATGACACAGAGATGAAACCCAAAGTGTGGGTTTTCTGACAAAAATATATCCGCCCACGTATTCAACATTGACACTGGTGAAGACGGTGTACGTCAACAGAGGGGAATTTCCATGCTTGTGTATAAAAGGCCTAAAGACCTGCCTGTTCTTAAAAGCAAAAAGCCCACCATGCAGAATCTTCAAACAGCCACACGCTCGTCTTGCAACAAAACTGACAAACAGAGACCACAATTTATCGCACCACTGACCACAATGACTCAGAAGTTTCCACTGACAATGTACCATCGAAAAGGATCTAAATTGAACCAATTACAGTATGTTTACCACATTGATGTGATCTTATCACATGACTACCATCATGTAAATAAAGACCAAATGAATACACATTTTATAATAAAGTAACATTTTTATATGCTAGTAAGAATTTAGCAAAGTCACTACTAGCATCTCACTTGGTTATTTCTACCTGAAATACTCTAACAATGCTATAAGATGCATGTCCTTAAAAGTCTTGCAAAAACAGCTATAAATGTGACAATACCCTGTATGTGACAGAGATTTACAGGACTTGACCAGAAGATGCCAGAGTTCTGTCTCATTGACAAAACTACAGGTTCATTTCAACAATCATAAAACTTACAATGAGCTAAAAATCTGAACTTGGATTCAAATGCTGTTTACATACATAAACATGAATGAAACAAATGCAAGACTTCAGAAGACTGATTATTTATAACAAAGTTCTTCAAGGTTTGTCTGAGAAAACGGGAGAACAGTAAGTGAAGAGTGAAGTGGTATAGGTCAGGGTTTTTTACTCAAATGGACCACAAGGTTGTGCTAAGGCGCCTGTGGAATTTCTTTAGAGAAAATAAAAAGATTTTACATTGCGTTTTAATAATACGCTTTGGATTGATGATATTAACTGTGAGATTTTAATGTTTCTCGATTTTTCTAATAGGAAGAACTAAAAACTAATATAGTGAAGAAAAAGAAAGATATGAGGTCAATTTTGCTATTAACTTCATATTATCAAGAAAATACTTTAAAGCGCTTTGCCTTTAGACAATGACAAAATAGCCAGTCATTTAATTTTGGAAACAAGATGCTGTCTGTATAATACCATGTTTAATATTATTCCACACATCAAAAATGGGTCCGTATACATGAAAATAAAAATCTGCCTTTAATAATTTTACTAAGGAGTCTTTATAATCAATTCTTCTAGGGGTCCTTAGCATTAAATCATGTTAACCTCCCTTAGTGGAGTCTCTCTATGTCTGTTGTCATCAGGTCCTGATGTCCTTAACCTTTAAGGCTGACCTTTATTACTTCACAGCACTAACCGAAGTAACTCCACTGTCCTGGGCTGAGAGATTGTGCCCCACACAGGGACCAGCTCCTGTCTCTAGGGGTCTGACTCAAAGCTTATCTGGCAACTGGACTCTTAAGAAATCATCCCAACAGATGTGGTTTGTTTGTGTACACAATTAGAATGGCTGGGTGAGAATTATGTTCGACATTACTCTTCTGTGCTCCTGTATAAGCCTGATAGGACAGCAGGGTCCACAGCAGCGTGTGGAGATGATGTTTAGATGTGACCTGGTGCCTCACAGGGTTTAATTAATACAGGGCTGCAGGGATGTAAATATTGATAATTAATGCAGCGGGAATGACATTTACTGCAATATGGGAGGCCTATAAGTGCAAAAGATGCTACTCGGGTTTGAAAACACATTCAAAATTACTAGCAAGTATAAATTAAATGATATTTTATCATACTTTTAATTAACACTGCAAAGTCACATTTGCACAGTACATTTGTTGCTTTTTCAGTAACATATATATATATATAAAAGCAAAACTGTGTAATGTATTTTCAGATAATATATCTGGAAAGTTTTTCCTTGCTTCAAGTATAAAATTTACAGAGGTTTATCCTAAAAAAAAAAAAAAAAAAAAAAAAAAAGAACTATACTAAAAATACAAATGGGGTAAACAACTTAAATTTGAATTCAAGATCTATTCTCTGAAAATGATTACTTTTAATTAATTTTTAAGTTTATTTTGTTTTAAGGATGTTTAGATATATTTACTGCAAAACAAGACTAAAATGTGCAGCTGGTAGGCCAAGACATGATTCATGAGTCTGAAAATACCTGCAGGAACAGAGATCATGTTCACTAGTCATAAAAAATCTTAAATGTCCATAATTATTGTTGAGAATTAGTAAAATGAATGGACTGTTTTTTAAAAGGCCTCACAGGCACGTTGATTTATCTGGAATCCACATCACTGAGATCACCTCTAAATGATAGTAGGTGGTCAGGATCTAATTGCTTGATATGCCAGTGTTCTCTGACTCAGTTTTTCTACCTGCTGAGCCAACAAGTTCCAGCTTTTCCACCTCAATCACACAGGACTCTCCAACTCCCAAGATACTCCCAAAAACACTTATGCTTTGATTTCCACAGTAAACCCCACATGCTGTATGTCTTCAAACAACTCTGAACAAAAGACTCCTTAATCAAGGTTCACTGCACCATAATTCGAGAGAGAAAATAAAAGCTGAACAAGCTAATCATTTTTTTCCAGGCAGATTCAGAGGCCCTTGTTGCTACATGTTTAAATTTCTCACAGACATTTAACTCTATTTATGATTTAACCATGATTTAAACTAGAACAATTTCTCTCATCTATGAATTTGTGCAAAACAAAAAGTAGTAATGCACTTATGCTGGAGGTCTAGGGGGGAAATGGATTTAGGAGGGTTTAAATGTGCAGCTCTTATTTTTATTTACAGCACATTTTATGTAATTAATTGAACTGAAAAGGTGAAAACCATTCTGATTTTAAGCACAATTACAGTGAATGAATGTGGTTAAGACAGACATTTTAGATGTTTATTGCCATGGTTCTTAACCTTTTTGACTTAAAGGCCCCCGTTGTCCAACACAATATTCCTTTATAGGCTACAATATGCCTGATATTTCTGCTGTAATTATGACAAAGCTGCTTGTTTTCAGACTTTATATTTACAGAAACTGGGAGCATGGATACAGTATAATACATTTATTATCCATGACTCATTTTGTGATTCCAGAAATTTTAAGAACTGTTATCTTACAAAAAGAACAAAAGTTATTATAGGACTAGTTTACATGATTCTTTTTTTTTTGCATTTTAATTGAGTTTGATTATTTGAATAAATTAATAATAAACGTAAATACTTAACATATTAATAATAAAATGAAAATTATTTTTAAGTCACCCCTGGTTGAGTACCACTGGTTTAGTTGTACATGCTCAAGACAGGAGGTGAAATATAAGATATGACTTAAATATTTTTCACACTCGTCTCATTTTAACATACTCTGTTTCAGTCTTTTAGCTACACCTTATAAACGGTGTATTTTAATTTACAATCTGTTGCCCCAATTCTATTTTAAGTTCCTTCCTGTAAATCAGATAAACATTCTGTGAGATAACTTAGATTTAATATTTCTATTAACTTTGAGGTTTTAGATTTAGCTGATGGTAAACAACTATTAGTCCAATATTACAAGGACACCTGCCGGGTCTGAACCTGCAAGCTTTTTAACCACTATGCCACGCCACCTTCAACACAAAAAACTGAAACAACATTTATGGACCCTCACCAAGAAAAGCTGCAAATCCATAGAGGTTTCCTTTTATTTCTGGAGAACATTTCCACACTCAGCTTTTTTGCCCACGACTCACTGAATGAGAAGACCTCTTTTTATGTCCCTGAGGGGGTTATTTAAGGTGGGCTGAAGTTCAATGCATCTGGATTTGATTAATGCACAGTTTTGAGTGTGACTTTTGCTTTATAGCAGCTTGATGTTCATTCCTGTGTGGTCTTTGCCAGCACTTACACTCCACATGAGACTAGCTGAATAAATCAGCTTACTGGCGTCCCACAGTGACTCATTAACTATTGATCCATTTGATGCCTCAGACAAAGCAGTTCAGAGGTGTAAATGAAAAACAGAAGGAGTGAAGTTTACTGAGCCTGAAGTGTGTTACACACCTCGTCCTCCACCTCCCTTCTTAGAGCCTCCTCCGCACGCCGCTGGATCTCCTCCTGAATCATTTGTGCGTATTCCGAATCCCGTTCCTCCCTAAGAGAAAAAAACAAAATAATGAAATAATGACAATAAACAACTGAAAAAACATGTCTGTTTCCTTAATGTAAGAAAGGAAGCACAGAGGTTGTCACACTATGGGACAGTGGTGGACTTTGGACATGCTATCAGCTGAACTGCTCATATACAGTATATAACCTTGAATACACACAGTGTCCTATCTGATAGTGTTCTCTGACAGTGTGTGTGTGTGTGTAATCTTACAGCTGGCGAGTGGCCTGTTGCTGAAGCATCTGAGCTGTCTGCTCCTCCTCATCCTGGAGTCTCTTGGCTACTCTGATGTCCCTCTGCACCAGCTGACTCCTCTGCACATTTGAGTTGTAATACTGCTCAACTGTTGGAGACAGCATGCAAATAAGGTTACAGAAAAGCATGCGGAAGATACACTACAGTTCAAAAGTTTGGGATAAGTACTTTAATGTAATGCATCCTTGCTATATAAAAGAAATAATCAAAAGCGACAGCAAAGACGTTTATGATGTTTTAAAAAAAATTCTATTTCAAATAATTTCTGTTCTTTAAGTTCCCAAAAAAATATTAAGCAGAACAACTGTTTTCAAAATTGACAACAATAAGAAACATTTTCTTGAGCACCAAAGCAGCATATTAAAATGATTTCTGAAGGATCATGTGACATTGAAGACAGGAGTAATGATGCTGAAAATTCAGCTTTGCCATCATAGGAATAAATACCATTTTAGATGTATTTCAAAATATGTTTTTTTTTTCATATTTACAACATTAGTTTTTCCACATTTTTGATATTTACAACATTAGTTTTTACTGTATTTTTGATCAAATAAATGCATCCTTGGTGACTTAGACTTTTAAAAATCTTACCGACCCAAACTTTTGAACAGTATTGTATATCAGGATATTTAAACTTTGAAAATGATTTCTAAACATCTGACATATGCGAGTGTTTCAATAAATATGCACATAGAGAGACTTTCCCATTTACATGTAAAGCAACCAATAGCAGATTGTTTTGTTTTTACATGCCATTTAGTGATGGGTAATTGCACTAATATTTTAGTCTATCTCTGTAAACGGCTGTATAGAGAGCAATCTAAAACTGAACTCTGTCTTGTCTGACCAAGCAGGATATTTTAATTAAACAGGTAGATTGACTCACATGAGAGATCTTATTTACAGCTACGCCCTTGCATTTCGAGGTGTGTGAATACCAGCCCTCTTTAGAAGTTTACAAAAGATGGATGAATGTGAAGACTGAGAAAATAAGCTTGCTTTAAAATCCTTTAGGTGTGGCGGACGAAATAAGAGAACGGGTCTTACTTTCCTGTTCCTGCAGGTTATGAGCTAGAGCTCCATCTTCCAGTACAGCAAAACACTGGCACACTGCAGACGAGAAACAACACTCAATACAACTGCAGAAACATGAACTAACATCAGGCTATGAGAGATGCTGAGTGCTGAACTTTATTTCTTAGATTTTAAAAGTATAGTATCTTTTGCATTTTTAACACAAATTAAAAGAAAATGTGACAGACTTGGAAATGTGTTCAGAGACTATGCAGTGTTATTTTTAATGTCTTTAGTGGTCACTTTTAGTAAACTAATTCAAAGCTTCATTAAAAAGTGTTCATAGCCCTATTTTTGTGAAGCCTCATATTTCAAAACATATATAAAAAAAGTTATCCATTAAAAAAAAAAGTCTTAAATTCTTTATACACCAAGTTTAAAAATGAGACACTCATATTTCATAAAGCCATAATAACAGTCTCCATGACAAAAACTGACCCTGGAAAGTTAAAAACAAAATTACACTTGTGGTTTTGGTCCTGTAAGTGTCACATGTCATTTTAAACCATGTGTTAAAATAACTGACATCACAGGGAGGCTCTCGCTGCTTTAGGAAAAAAAGTTAAAAGGAATTGTGTTGAAAATAATTTCTCTCAGTTTGCAAAACCAAAGTAATTTCTATTGGGCAAAGCATTTCAGAGGTTTAAAAGCAGAAATATGAAGATTGAGCTCAGTTTTTTCATTATTTGAGCTTGAAAATGGTCTGAATAGCTCTTTTATCGGTAGGACTACTGTTCTAGGTGATGTAGATCTGGGCATGCATTATTTTCTGTGGTAATCAGCAGGATTTTGATGCTGTCGATAGAACCTGGAACTTTCCTTTAAAAAAAAAAATAATTCACAAGAAGCAAAAGCATTGAGTGCCAGACAGTAAACTCTAAATTTAACAAATGTTCATGTGAACTGAAAAGTACAGCTCTTGAGTGTCTTTCAAGCTGATAAACAAACTACAATTACATAAAAAATATATACCGTATGTGAAAGCTGAGCATAAGAGATCTTTTGGAAAAAGTTAAATAAACACTAGGTTGACGACTCAAATCCCTTTAATTTTTAATAATTTTGATGATTTGCCTGATTAATAACATTGATTTATTTTGTGCATTGCCATTTTCTTATCCCTTGGGATGCCCACTCTATACAGTGAAACTAAAAATGCTCAGTACAGTGTTCTGCATTTACTGACATGACATTGCAGAATTCCTCAAGGAGTTACAGAAAATTCTACATGGCTTGTGCTACATGTTGTGGTGAATGTTGAGTAGTGTAGATTAACGCAGTGTCATTGTTGTTACCAAACAAACACATACACGGCTCTCATAAATATGCTCATGGCAAAAAAACTTCAACCCCGCTGTGTGTGCCGCCCCTCAGGATATCCACAAACCATGTAAGCAAAATACAAATTTAGTCAAAAGCAACCTCAAATTCAGGGATATACAAGGCGGCAGAGCCGCAGAGAGTTTCTGAGGGGAACATACAGTCTGTAATTGACACAACAGCTGGAGTCTGAGGCTATAGCGCTAGAGCTGGACCTGCGGTCAGAGCGGAGAACATTACAGACCATGAGAGCAGTAAAAAGAAAGAAAAAACAAAAAAGAGCGTTTTACTAAATCAAGAGTCGCCTCATCAGCGCAACTGCTGGATTCACACTCAAAAACCTGAAACACATAAATGACACTACATCTGATTTTTCTTCAGGGTAGCTGAATCTTCAATTATGTTGAATTAGAGTAGCATGAACATAATATCCTAATGGAGACATCCTGACTTCAGCACAACCTCTGACCTGAGCAGCTGGTGGAAATCTATGTATAGCTGTGAGGCCCAGCCATCCTGTCTGGTGGGGTGAAACCTACCGAAACTAGCGACCGCCTAAAAATGTGAGCAGAGAAAAATAATCCTACTGTGGGGTATCCTAAGTTTAAATGCAACCGTTTGGGTATCCAAAGACAAATGTATTTCCTGCTTGAGCCCACCTGCTGCATATTGCGATAACCCATATCAGGTCACACAAGCACCTCCCAACAATGCCCTCACACATCCATCCACTCAGAGCGCACACACACATACGCCTGCACACAGAAGGAATGGTTTCCAGATGTGCCAGCAGCAGAAAAAAGACATTAAGCTGAGCAGAAGGATAGTGAGATTGGTGGTGTTAACGTCGGAGAGGCAGCAGAAAAGGACAAGAACACAATGGTCAGTTTCGTTGTCCTCTTTTGAGACATCCAGTGGTTCTGTAGACTCAGTAGCTGGTTTGTTTTGTCCAGCAGCCAATATACTTTCTGCCTGGGGACAGGGCATGAATAGAACTGGAACATGACTAGAAACATCAAGAGAATTACACTGCAAAAATATTTGTGGATCCATATATATATACACTGTATGTGTTTGTGTGTAAAGGCAGTGCAAAGAATAAGGCATCAGAATCTGTATCGATGTCTGCATCTGAATCAATCCTTCCAATCTGATTTTGAATTCACTGAAATACAATGAAAATGTCTACAGTCTCTGCATTTCATTTATTGAGAACAAAATGCGTGATATGGCATTTATGTTACAGTGAGAAGCTTAAAAGTAAGCAGTTAAGTCACATTAAGACCTAGATATTAGCATGACCCCCAAGTACATAACTGGAGTTTTTTCTTTTTAATATATAAAATGATGCAAATAAGCATTTTCATGTTGATAAGTTTACTAATGAAAAGCAAGCATATTTTTTATATTTGATGATAACTAGCTTTTAAGCTGTACACTACTGTTCACAAGTCAGTAAAATCCATTCAACAAACAGTCCTGAAAAAAAGTCCACAATATTACCGTTTTACCGTATTTTTTATCAATTAAATTCAGCCTTGGTGAGCACAAGAGACTTCTTTCAAAAACAGTAAAAAAAATGTTACCCAAACTTTTGAACAGTATACAGTAATTATTCTCACATTTCACAAATTATGTAAGATTCTATGTCAATCGATTCCATTTGGATCAATCTCCATCTAGTTTTCAGACTGAGGTACATTAAATATATTGGGAAATGATTGGTCTATCAGTCTAGAATATTAAATATACTACAGAATATTAAATTATTAGGCTGGATGTAATCATAGCTACTGTTCTCAGGAAGCATAAGACAGCAAAAGATATGTGAAGCTTATGCTAGCCAAGTACATACACCTACAGCCAATTATTAAAAACATCTGGTCTGATTCCTTCAGTCAAAACAATCCTGATATCACAAGGACAACAGAATGAACTACTGACAGTAGGATTTAGTACGTTGATAAGGTTTGCTCAGGAAAACGTATTGGTCTACTCTCTAAACACTGCTCGTCCTTCAAACTACACCTAAACTGATAAGATTGATCAACCTACAGATTAGGCAATGCTGGGGATTTCTGCTCGTCTTTATCTACAGGCCCACTAACAACAGCAAGACTTCTTAGGCTTGTGTCTCTCAAGAATCAACGCAGTCAACAAAATAAAAAACACTTACAGATTCACACGCTGAAAGGATCATCCATTTTTATCCAGTAGAGGAAGGAGAAGCTGTACACCTGTGTTAAACTCCACTTAGAAAGTCTTCTTCTCGTCAGCTTAGCACCTGCTAACCTGCTCTGCATACACTCCTCATTTCAGGAGGAGGGATTTGAGCCTGCAGGCCCGGTTCTGACCTCAGCGTTCGGGTGTCAGATTGGGGCGCTGGGTGGATTGGCAGGCAAGAGGGTGTGGACATAAAGTTGTCTAACTAGTTTTGCAGAAGCAGAGCCAAAAAAGAAACATGATCATATTACAAAGACAAATGTATGTTTGAAAGCATATATGAATACTTTAAAAACAAGATTTTTGACACAAGTGTGTAAATTCCTAAACCACCTTAAAAGATAAGATAGAGCCGCCATCAGTTACAGACAAACTAACACTGGGACGAAACAAAACAAAAAAGAGCATGACAGACTAGTGAGCTGAGACAGGAAGTCTGAGATGGATCAGTCCATGTGTTTATTTGATCAAAAACACAGTAAAAACATTAATATTGTGAAATAAAATGTCATTTGTTCCTGTGACGGCAAAGCTATTTTCAGTTTAATGTGTCCTTGCTAAATAAAAGTATTAATTTATTTAAGAAAATTAATTCTTACTGACCCCAAACATTTGAACGGTGGTATAAAGTGTACCACTGGGCAGAGGTTTCACAGCATAAATAGGACAAAGGTCATTGAAAGCAGGGAGTGAGGGATGCAAAGGGGTTAAAGTGCAGAGAGGAAAGAGGCTGCTTTTTCTCAAGGGAACTGGGTTATAGAGACAACATTCCCAAGACTAGGTCAAGAGAACAACCAGAGCTAAAACACATCCACAGGAACTCATAACAGAAGAGTGAAGACAAAGAGAACTCACACGATATATGTATTACACAATGTTATGGGGAACTATACTGAAAACAAACTGAGGAAATGAAAACATAGTTGCTCACAGGCCATGTAAAAAAGGATATAAACCCAATGGGAAAGACACATGGCAAAGTAAGTACTGTACATATCTACAAAAGCCTAGACATTAGTTAATTGGGTGACACAGGGGGTATGGTGGTCTAATAGGGTCTTTGTTCAACAGCCAGTGCTTGTTTAAGCGTAAAAAAAACAAAGCAAAACAATAAAAGCATTGTGTACAGAATGGGAACGGAAAGGAAAATCATCATAAACATTTCCCCCTTCAAAAGAAGCAGTAGGTCAATCTCAAAATACAGGATTTTTACCTAAGAGATAACACTTGAGCAAACAGGGCCATGTGGAAACGTTCTTTCACCAGTGGAAGACAGACAGCTTTTTTTGCTTCCCAGATATACAGCAGATGTCTGGAATGTTTATCAGATCTCAGACTTATCAGTATAGAGCATGCAGTAGCTTTTTTTGCTTCCCAGATATACAGCAGATGTCTGGAATGTTTATCAGATCTCAGACTTATCAGTATAGAGCATGCAGTACTTTGAATATGACAGCAGAATGAGACATCTGAAAATCAGAGCGGGAATCAACAATCAAGACCACAGAAGGATGTGACGCACACATCAAGTATACACATGATGTGTATCATACAGGAAAAGCACAACTCTTCTTAAATGAAACGGTCTGCAATGTGCACACACAGAGTCATAACCACAAGCAACATGTGCATGTCAGGCAGGTCTTACCCTCCTGGATTCTGGGCAGGTTGGACTGATCCACCTCCAGCTCGGCCATGACTGCTGGCACTGCTCAACAACTCATGCCATTCAGCAACACCTATTCTTATGAAAGACAGACTTTGGTTAGTGCTCAACTGACAGGGCCAAACTAGTTTATTTGGTCACTGTGAGTGTCCCAACAGATAGTTTACCACTGGCTCATTAAATACTATTACTTATGAGACATGCATCTGAATCATAATTCGAAAACGGAATAAAACGAAAAAAGCTGATAAAATATTCACGTTACAGAACAAGTTAAATATTTTATCAACATTCCCATGTAAAGAAAAATAGATTCAAGTATACTATTATAAATAATAATACATTAAATACAAATACTATTAATCAACAAGACTTTCTCTTAAGAAAGCACATGTCAGCACCTATAAATAACCAGAATAGGTAGTTGCCTTAAGAAAAATATTTGTGATTTATTTTTTTAAATAATACATTTATTGCCTTAAGAAATCATCAATAAAATAACATTAAGAATGAAAGTAAAATAAGCCTTTTCATTCAATCACCTGTACAATAATATAAAAAGGTATTTTCTTAAGAAATAGCCAAAGTAAATACATGCAAACTAAATGTAAATCGTTTAAGAGTCTATACAGTCTAAAACACGATGACTGATTAAAAGCTGGATCAAATTTAGGGCCAAAAGATAACAGTATCGACTGTGTTTTGCTACATATTGACAGAAAATATAAAAAGGACAAAGCAGCACGCGACAGCAGTACTAATGCAAAAGCGCCCTGAAACTAAACAAAGCGAAACTACAAATAGAGAGAGAGAAAAAGACAACAAACCGGTAGAAGTGAAATGAATGAGGACAGAGTGGGGAAGACCGACGTTCACATTCCTCACGTTTTTCACCTCAATGATTCATCACACAAACATCAAACACCGAAAACATGATTCACAACAGACACCAAACACAGTCTCTTCTCTTCTCTTACCTGCTCTGCGCTCTTCACTTCTCTACAAACGCTCTTTTTTATGTTCAACTACTTGTTGCATATTAGGGCTACTCGAAAAAGTCTCATTTCTCAAAAGCTCATACTAGATTTGTCAGTTTCTGAAATAAGCCTGAACTATAATTACCCAGCTAAGTTTCCGACCAGACAGACTGTTTTTGACAACGAGACAATGGCATGAAGCACAGGGATGGGAAGCCAGCGCGGACAAACTTCTGCACGCTCCCTCCCTCCATTACATCACACTAGTTCATCCAATCACATCAAATAATAAAAAATAAAATAAGAATAAAAATATATATATATATATATATATATATATATATATATATAAAAAAAAACTAAAACTGTGATGCCCTATTCACCTTTTTAAATATACTTAGATCTGAAATATGTATTGATTTTACAAACGGCACAGAAAGTTAAAGCTAACTTAATATAATGATAAATGCTTATTTTCCTCTATTACAAAGTGTTACAGGATATTGTGCCCTCTACTGACGTTTGAGTCTTGAAATTCATGGATTCTTGAAAGAAAACCTTTCCTCGTCTCTTCCTTTTGACACATGTGCTGTTCAGCAAACATAAACAAGATATAATGATGTTTTGTGCATTGTATTACTATATTATATATTGCAAAATGTAGGCACAATATTCAAGACAATCCTTGTGGTTTATCTTCTCCACACTGTTTATTTTCTTATTTTTGTCTTGTTTTCCACTATAAATTTAACATTAATAAATCAAGCTGCGTTTAGGCTACTTGAGAAGAACATTGCTTATGGTATTATGTCTTGTTTACTGAAGAAAATGATACAAATTAAGTGAGTTTTATGCTTAAAACAAGAAAAAACTTCAGGGGGTAAAACATTTATCTAGTTTTGATTTTTCTTTTTTCCAGAAAACATGACTATATCTTAATATCGTCATTTAGCTTCTAGTAAGTGTATATTGATTTAGGAATGTTTCGATATTTATTCATAGAAAACGACAAATATACTAAGCAATAATTTTTTCTTCTCCAGTATATCATGTGTATTGTGCAGATGAAAAGTTATTGCATTGTGTTTAATGTTGAGAGCAAATTCATTCAAACAAATTCCTCATAAGATCAATCTCACAATCAAAGGCAATGAAGATCAACAAGTGTAGCCAGACTGTGAGTGACATCCATCCTTTTAAAATGGCTCTTTATTTCAACAGTCTGCTCTGTCTGATTATACTCCACGCTTTGTAAATGTCAAATGTGTGTCACTAATAAGATGTTGCCAGTGGGTGATAAACAAATGTCATCCTCTCCTCGGCAGATGGGTAGTCTGGAGTTTATATCCCTGCTGCTGAGCTTCATTTTCTATTACCTTCATTGATTGACAATGTCATTAGCATCAGTGTGGCTGCCTGAATCCCCAATAAAATCGTTTTTTCCTATGCATCAGTTCACCAACCTTCATTGTGAATTTTAAGAGTTATATTTTCATCTTTTTCAATGTGAAAGGACTAGATTCATGGGCTAAATAAGACAGCTGACATATTCATAAAATCATCCCGGTCATAGACGGACATTTGCGCACCTGTGTTCCCCAATTTACAAATTCAGTAAAACAGGCCAATGAGATTCAAAGGTGATAAAGTCACTGTGGATCTGCTGCATATTAACATATTAACTCAACAGGATCCAAATTTTAAAATAAGACAATCAATAAAAACATTGCATTCATTATGATAAGAGTGGAGTATATAAGATAAGAGACCATCCATCCACTCCATCCACCAAAGGCTGACCTTGGAGGACCTTATCCTGCTGCGGAGATGATCTGTAACCTGCTTCTGTCCTGCTCTGTCCTCCTGCTGTCCTGCAGTCGTCTGCTAGCACATCCCGTTACAGACACAGCTGACAGGACTTACAGCGGCCTTGGTGAGTGCATTCACACACAACGTTTCAGATGGGCATATTTTCCCCTCTATATATTTATGGATGTTAAAGACTCTCTCTCTATAAATATATATATATATATACATGTGTGTGTGTATATTTGGCACCGTAAGCTTATATCAGATGGCATTTATGGCAAAATACATCAAAATAATGCATCAAAAATACATCAAAAATAAAAAAAATACATCAAAATAATTGGATGTGTGGAATTTGACATCAATAACAATATATATATGTGTATATATATATGCTTTTTAAATTACCTATTTAATAATCTATGTATGATTTTATTATGTTTAGTTAAATTTTATTTAATGCAGTTAAGATTGTTTTTTTACGCTGTATGGCATTCTCAGAATAGTCTAATTTTTTTTGTTGGAAACAATGCACTGATATAAAGCACAGCAACTCAGATTAGGGTCTTACTTTATATTATATGTGTATGTATATATATATATATAGTTTATAGCTTATATTTATATATATATTATGTATATTAATCATTTGATTCAAAGTAGGGTACTTATTGTGTAGATACCTGTTTTACACTGTGCTTCTTTTTTCTTTTTTAAATACCTGCATCCAATCACAGCTGTAACTAATTTTTGTAAACTGCTCTATCATTACACTGTTGGTCCTTTCACTACCACTTAAACCTACATATACCACCAAACCTGTCCCTAACCGTACCTGTATCCCACCTCAAAGGCAGCAAAAGTGCTTCGCAACACATCATGAACACAATAAGTACATGTACCCAACTATTTTTTTTGATGCAAGTAGTACTTTAAGGCACCTTCTATGTGTGACCCAAAAAGAAAACATTACTTTTGTGATGCTGGTGCTATATATCAATACATGCAAAATTGCTGTAGCTGATGAAATCTGCTGTGTCTGATCGCTCTTGTAGATTCAGTGGAGTTAGCCGGAGTCATCAGCCCAGATGATTTCACCGTCTCTGATCTCAATGATCTCCTGCAGAGGGCAGCCGTCGTGGGATATCCCCCACTGCTCAGCAGAGAGAGTGAGACTCTCTCATCTCACACAGACGTTTCATCACAAAAGCTATCTTTCAATGTTACAAAACAAATGCTCATCCTGTTCCTTTCACAGGTACCAAACTGTCTGGACAGATTCCCAAAGAGGCTCTAAGAGAGGTAAAGGAAATAACAGTCTCTCCGCTTGTAAATAATGCTGTGTTCATGTGCATTATCTTATTACATTTACATGCAAATATGTGACCAACATCTTTCTCCTTAGTTTCTGTCAGAAAAAGCGTATCGCCTCATCCCTCCCAGCGGACTGTGGGGAAGCAGGAGACAGTTCAGGAAGAGAGGTGGCAATGCAGACTGCTTCTGGAAATACTGTGTTTGAGCCATTCATGACATACTGAACTGAGGGACAGGGCTTTTATGGACCCGCACACACATATATAATACAGTACAACAATCATACAGGATACCGTTACAAACAAATGCGCAAAACAGTTGTAAACCACTAACATGTCAAATATCTGGGAACTTTTTTCTACATACCTTCAGCTTTTAATGCTGGAATATTTGGAATCAGAGCCAATACCATAGAGGAGACCACAGCTGTGTGTTTTAAAACATATAACTCTAAATAAATGCAAAAATAAAATACTAAAAAGCCTCCATTCTTTGTCCAGAGTCCATAATGTTCTTCTCATCTTTAAAAATCGAAATATAGAGTTCACATTTGTACATTTTGCAGCTCCTTTTATTTCTCGTCTTACAATGAGTTCACAGAGAGCATGTATGCAGATGAGATTCGAGTGTAAACCTGATAGCTTTTCAAGCATTTTTGAGACAGATGAATTCCTCCAAACTATTCTTCAACCTTGGAGGCCGGACATCCACTTAGCTGGGGAGGACAAACGGTATCGAGATGCATCTACGGACTTACTGAACAAAAGAAAAGACAAGCCAAAGACTGTATGATATGTGTTAAACACCACTTGCCACGTTTATATTCATATAAAATGTATAAAAACCCCACACTTGTGTAATGTTTATGAGAACAGCAGATCAGTGGTTGTTTGATTACCTGCTGTGGACTCTTGATGGTAAGGCTCTATGTATTGATACTCCTAGACGTGGAAGGTCTCTCTTGTCCAAATCTTCAGTATTAGGCCAGAGAACCTCAGGAGAGTCCATCAGCTCTGTGTCCTGTCCTTCCTGCTCATTCCCCGCAGTCATCGCTCTGAGGAGCTCTATCATCTAACAGCACCCACACAAGCAGCAGTTCAAACAAAACTCACCAATGAGCCATTTCTCATGTTTAGGACTAAATGACTCTACTTGAGAAATCAGAACACAAGTTCCTTCACCTCTCTGACAGTGTCAGTGTGAACAGGCTGAGTGTCACTCCACCAGACACACAGCAGCAACAGACCGAGAGACATGCAGAACGTCATCTTCATTGTATCTGTAAAACAGAGGAGTCTCAAAAACCTCATCATCATGAGTCAAGGAAATTCTGTCATCATTTCCTCACCCTTACAAACAGTTGTTGGGCACCATTGACTTCCATAGTATTTTTTTTCCATACCATGGAAGTCAATGGTGCCCCATAACAATCAGGTTACTGACATTCTTCAAATTATCTTCCTTTGTGTTCAACAGAAGAAAGAAATTCACACAGGTTTGGAACAACTTGAGGGTGAGTAAATGATAACAGAATTAAAAATTTTGGGTGAAAGGCAATAAACAAACAAATAATGATATTATTAAACGATATTATGAAAATATAATATAATTTATAAATACTGATATGACATATTGCTTATTATAAATAATAATCATTATATAATATTAAATATAAATAAAAATCAGTCATTAATAGTTGTATTAATATAGAATTAGTTGATATACATATTAATAATGCAATACATATTGCTTATTATAAACAATAATACAATATTAAATAAACAAAAACATTGAATTAAGTACTTTATAGAACTATAGTACAATCTTATTAGCTAATAATATCTCCAAAAAAAGGTTAAATGGGGTTCTATAGAACCCTATAGGGTTCTTGACTAAATTTTAAAGAACACTTTATGCCAAAAAGGTTATATATAAGGAGAAATGTGTTAAATTATCACATTACGCTTTCATGTTTAATATTTTTTTTAGTAAGAAGGTATGTTTATAATATTTTATTAAATAAAAAAATAAAAACATCCCATGATAGAACCCCCTAAAAGGTTCTATAAAATATTTAAAGTTTTTTTTTAATATTTAAAAAATATAAGGGTCATTAAAATTTCTATCATAATTGGGAGAGAGGCTCTTAATACATTACATATACATGTAGAGCAGTAAACTAAACAGATAATGCAAAAACTTAATGCTAGCAAAAACAAGCAAATCAGAAGAGAATTAAATGTAAATGATATAAGAGTAAAAAAAAAAATACAAAGCCTTTGTTCCTTACCTGAGCAGCCTTCTGTGATTCCCAGATTGTTCTTGTTGTGCAGAAAACAGCGCTATAGTGAGGTGAAGGAATCTTCACAATTTATATCCTGACCAATAACCACGTGTTTGGATTCCAGAGGGCAGTTACCTGGCCCATAAACCCTGCCAGTAACTGACCCAATCACTGTCCCCTGTTCTATCGCCAATATTAAAAGCAAAAAAAGCCTCTTCAGCACAAGCACAAATGCACACACAGCAGTCATTTCCTCTTATCATAAGCTATTATTCCCATAAATTGACCACAATTCTCGATCACACAAAATAACAAACCATTAGTTTAATCACTGACTCTGAATATAAGTCCAAGGACAACCAATAACTCTAAAATTTACTGTATGACCTTTCACTAATTCATGATTCAATGAACACGAACGCCATCATTTGGACCTAAAACTGTCATAGCATCCTCACTTAATGACGGAATGCAGTGTGTTGCAGTGACCTACAGATGGCCCAACTGAGCCAACAAATCAATTTAACCTGAAGACAAGGTTTAAGCCTAGTGCCAGACTATAATGCGTGTTTAATCTGTTTGAATTTAAAGCAATTTGCATATCTGAAAATATATCAGTGCTATTGTTTTGTCTCAAGATGCACACCAGTAATGCCCCCAGTGCTTTTTATTAAAAAGACACTAAAATAACTTTGAAACGTTTTAAGTTTTTCCCCTTTTATTATTTTACAGCAGAGAGAATATAAAGCATTCAGAAAACACCTTTCATTATTTAAGGGCAATTCAAAACATTTTGCATGGCTTCAGCAGCTGAATTCTCTTTTTTAACATATCCATCGATTCAGTGACTCTTTAACATGCACAATTACAAAAATAAATTGCTCAAACCAGGGAGAAGGAAGAAAAACAAAGACATTTAAAAAAAGAAGAACAAAAAAATTAGGGGTAGGAAGGGAGAGGGCTACATAATCGGGAAAGACAGAGAAAGACAGCTAGAGAGGAGAGGAAAAGTAGATCTAACACTAGTTTAACATGCAAAGTGTAGAGAGCCCCAAGTGTAGCTTGTAATAAAGGCAGGGCCGTTATTTTCTGGGTTTGAAAGGGATGAAAACGTGCAGCTCCATGAAGGGTGTCGTATAAGCACTGTCCTTAAACTACTGCATTCTAATCTCACAATACTGGCATTTGCATAAGAGTTAGTCAGCTACGTGTGTCCAACAGATCGCTGTCCCCATTAGGTCTACAGGTCTTCACTTCAGGAACTGCTTATTGCTCTGTGTCCATGAATGGTGGGATGTTTGTTTCCCTTTTCTAAAGAATGCATGCGCAGGAAAGTTGGTGACGCGACAAACAAAAGTGATGATGAGGTATCTTCTGTGGGCTGAGCTGTGATACCGTTAAAGCTGAAGCAGAGTTGTCAAAATGAACCCGTATGCGACCAGATGAGGTTATAGTCTGGTGTTTATAAACTACAGCTATGTCTATCTATGGCTATAATAACGTTATGATGATGATGATGAATCGATCTGAGCAGCACTTTTTCATTATTGTGATACAGTATATCCACGGCAGTGTGTTTATACTAGGATCTGGAGGAGCTGGATTGAACTGAAACATCCATGCGTATTTACACAAGCATCAGACGCATTCGTGCAGACCTGCTCCATTCGAACGGGCTTGATCACTCTTATACAACACCAGTCAGAGCGGCTCTTTTGACAAATCGGTTTTTAGGGACCCAAGGTACGCCAACTCAGCTCACATAGTTGGTTTAAAAAAAGGTGAACAGCATGACATGTTCAGAATCACAGTAATTTGATCAGGACAGTGTGGCTCGTTTCCCAATAAGCAGCAACTAATTCTCAAGTGACCTGCTCTACTTCCCCTTTTCTCCAGTTTGGCACCTGAGTTAAGATACAAAAGTGAACCCGTCAGATTCACAGCCGAGGTTTCAACTGCACTAGTGCCATGGACACTTTAACGTGGATATGGACACAGTTCTGTAGCGCGTGTTTTTTGTATGAGGTACACACGTTTTTTTTTCTTTTTCTCTTTTACCTGTTTCTGTTGCGGAGTCGTTTAAGAAATGGCAATGTAAATGGAAACAGGAGTGAAACTGAATTCGATGCCATTTAAAACGAAACTGGAAGCCAAATTCTATTTGATAAAAAAAGATTCATGCTGCCCCTGTAAATATGAGTACTGACAATTTGCCAGCTGTTTTGACTTTGTGTACTGTAAAGTTACGTTTCGTAGCCATCGGTCTGTTTGAAGTTCTGCAACCCATGAAACCAGCTGCTTTACAGAACAGTATTTCTTCAACAAGTCTACCTGACTACCAAATCTACAAAAATAAGCATGCTTTGGGTGCTGTTTCAGCAACCCGGTTATCTATGTTACCCATGCAAGCATAATAAGACTCGAGTTGCCACCGCAGTGCATCAGCTGACAACCTAAACTGCTACCGGAATGATGAATGCAAGGCAAGAACCAGCCGGACTGAAATCTGCAGTCCTCGCGGGTTCATCTGGCAGTTCCAATAGAGGACGTGAGTTATGACGAAGCCATAAATTCCTGGTGCGTTAAAAAAGAAATACATGGAGAAAGTACAGACAAAGGAACAACAAGTAACGCAAAGGAAAATAAAAACGAACCGAATACAATTCACTTCTCGCGAATGCCAGTCCCTTGCAAACCTCACATGCAGACTGACTGACACGGCTCGCTGGATTTAGAATATGATCAGGCACTTCCAACATAAGCACTCTGAAGAAAACATTTACATATCATTCTCTCGAACAGAGACGCAAATACAAAATATGACAAAAAGCATTTTGACATGAGGGGGGAACTAAAATATACACATTTTTTTAGTGCATTAGAAATCGTTTTCAGGAGTGTTTTCACATACTTCTTTTCAAAAGCCATGGCGACACCTGCTGTTGAAAGTTACGTCCC